CCCCAAAACCCCAAAACCCCAAAACCCCAAAACCCCATTTTTCGTAAATTTATTGAAATTCATTCAATAATGCTCTGTTATGGCTGAGTCAAATCTATTTCAATATTTTGTATATCATCTCTCTCTTCTGACATATCAATAACTCTTTCATGAACCTCCATTGCTTTCTTCTTAGTAGTAACTACTTCTAATGTCCATTCTAGCCCTTCTAGAGGGAGTGGCCTGAATGAAGGCAAGAATATTTTGAAAATGTTTTTAGTTCCGAAAGTAACATAAATATTATCTCATATACCTGGGAATCCAAATCCTTTCCCTTCATTTATCTCCATATCTAAACTTTGGAGATATTCTATTTGAGGAATACCCTTTAAGCAAAGGTACCACTGCCATAAATTAAAGAATGACATTGCCAAGAACACTCCAATATGGATCCCGATCATTATCTGGCTTCACATTGGGTAATTCCTGTAATGAGGGTCACCTCTTCAATGCCAAATTATCATACCTACAAATAAATTGGAGATTGGAAGGTAAAATATGAACAGTAAGAAGTATCTGAGGTTATTTCAATCCAAGTCAATTGTTCACCCAGGGACAGTGGTGATCCATGTTTATCACACAACCTCTGCATATAGAGCAATGATGGAATCTCAAAGGTTTAACAGGTAATTTATTCATACCAGTCTCCTCATCCATATCATCTAAGAACGTTCATTTTGCTCATCTATGGGAATACTGAGCAGATGATCAGACTGAATTTTTTTTATGAAATATGAATAAATGCAAAAAAAGATTACCTGATTTCCCAATCACCATCAATCTTGTCAATAGTTTTCTTCGTATGCCTCATGCATGCCTTCAAAGCTTTATTAGCAATAGCATTAGTAGGCCTATTTTTCTTCTTACATTCTAGATTGGGGTTTTCTTTACTCTATACTAATTAGACCACTTATTTATCAGAACAAAAAGGATTCAATGGCTTACTCCTTTAATTCTGCCTTTGTAATATTCTTGGAGCTTTCCAGGACTAATCAGCCAAGCCATCGTGTAGTTAAAGAGAATGTTGAACAATAGAGCAAAGAAGATAAATGTTAATATCATGCTTTGGGTAATCCAAGCAATGTGTGAATCAGGACCGGATAATGGCAGATAACTTATCTTGTTGTTATACAATATAGGAAGATATCAGTTTCAAAACATATACACATTCAGCCCAAGTAAACCATAAACAGATAGCACAAAGATAGGACCAATCACATTGACTCCTTGTGAGATATCAACATCTTTGAGGAGGGATAAAATCATTTCAATTTATTATAAATTACAGGGGTTTTGGGGTTTTGGGGTTTTGGGGTTTTGGGG